GCCCCTCGACGACCCGCTGGTCCTTCAATTGCCCCAAAATGGCATCCAGTCTAGTATGATATCGTATATGAGGCAGGCGCCGGCCGACGATAGAGGGAGGAACGTGTAAGGGTGTCGTACCGATGGGATCGTATTTGAGCATGCTCAGCGGTTGATGCGCACGTGGTCTTTGCATCGTCCGGTAGTAGCCCGTCATGGCCATCGAAATCAGACGCACCATAATGGTACGGGACTTTGCTGTGAGGCTCGTCGTCAGCGCATATCCGCAGATGTGTGAGTTGTGGGAGGGCGCATTGCGGATTGGCGGGGGCGTTGTGTTGGCTTCTAAGGGCCTGATATTGGAGTAAAGCGAGAGCGCATACCTTTCTTCGCCATTGCGACAGGCGGAGATGTGTGGTGCCGACGTCAACGGTGGTGGTGTCGCGGCGTGACGATTTGCAGATGCGGATCTTGGACCGGAGGTTCTGCGGCGCCAACGCGGTCAGCCAATCAGCGTCGATTGAGGTCTTTGCACCACCCAGAGTTTAGCTGTGCCCGTCAAACCTCTTCGTTCCAACCCTCACGGCCACGATTTTGTTGGCGCATCTCACCTTTGGAACCATTTCAAACTGGTTTCATCAAAAGCGGTGTTGCTCTTTCTTCGGCCCTTGAGGTCATGGCTGACAGCGATTGCGTGAGTACACAATACGCCTACCCCTCGTGTCTTCTTCAGAATCATTCTTCGTCTTTGCGACACTTCCGCTCTCAATGTCATCTTGCATTTCCTTGATCATCCCATTGTCTCTATCGTTGTTTCCAGATTCGATGCCTGTACGTGATAACGACGTTCCATCCTCTTGCAACATATCTCCGTCACCGACCTCAAGGATGACGACATGGTTTGCAACTGGCCATCAACATGGTCGGCGTACCTCACTCACTCCAGATCCAAAATCGAGGGGATATCGAAAAAGATATGAATTAAACTATCTAGTAATGTCGGAACAGAGCAACCTGCAGACCCACGCGACATGCCGTTCGATGTAGCGGGCGAGCGGAACAGCTCTGCGTCCATGCATATACGCAACCTGCCTTCCGAATCTGCGTAACGGGCGCAGCAAGTATACTTGATGACCCCATTCTTAGATCCGACCCCTCGATTTCTGGAAGACAGGGCATGCACTTTGGTTTCTTCTCGGCTCCAGTTTCGGGACACTACTATCGCCCTGAGGCAGTAGGTCCTTTTCTGTGGAGTCGTTGTACTGGTTGGAAAAGCGGCGTTCGAAGATCGCGTGTCCCCTTGGAACACCAGGACCAGGACCAACGGCAAGCCGGAGCCAACGATGAGCGGAGAAAGCACCCGCACAAAGGAGCCATAGAGCGACAGCCCTGGATATCAGCAGCTTTTCAAAGTTGATTCCAAGATATACATAGCCCGGGATGGATGCTCGACGAACCCTTATGTCGCTTGTCCATACTCAGCGCGCCGGCGTTGGCAGCAAAAAGAGCGTGGGAAAGCAAGGCGCTCACCAGGCCCGTGCTGCCGTCGCCTTGCGTATTCGAATCGCTGTCCTTACACAAGGCAAAGTGAAGCCAAAAGATTCACAAAAAAAATGTTAGCTACTCTTTGATTGAGCGTGTCATCCTTAGTGCAGGGGCCATGCTAATCTTCTCTGTATCGTTTCAAATGACCAAATGCCCGAAGGCGAAGAGAAGCTCGATTGTGGTGGTTATATACCCAAGGTCGAGCGGTGAGGGCGTTTGTTTGTGTCGAGCGGGTACCCGGGCTTGTGCGCAGCGACAAGGCAGCAGGCGGCGTGTGGCATGCGCCAAGCGCCGGCAGGGAGCCGAGGGGAGAGGAGAGGAGTTCCGAGATGGTTGGTCAAGGTTGAGTCGATGTTAGCATGGCCTGCAGATGGAATGTTCAGCATACCTTTGGTGCGGCGCTTCTTGCGACCCCACTCTCGCACCACGACGATGGAGCGTCAAAGCGGCGCCTGAAGCCAAGGCGATACCCTTGAAATGCTTGATAGTCGGCTTTCGATGTCGTCGCATCGTTTGGGAGCTGCTTTGGCCATCTGGTCAGCTATGAACGGAATCCGCGGAGTTGAGGTTGACGATCAACCAACGATGACGCATTCCGGCAACCAGGTAGCCAAAAGAGGAGGAGGCGGACATGGAAGAATGAGATGAGAAGAGACGGATGTAGCAGCTTGCTGATGATGCTTAAGCGTATCTGCGACAGTGTTAGCTGTACGCAAATGGGAAGAGTAGGGCAGACGATGACACTCAATACTATGGCGTTCGGTGTGTTGCGAAGACTGGACAAGAGCTTGTCGCACGAATACCCTGAAGACGGCAGACTGCCCGCGGTCAGCATGCTGCTGTCTTGACAGGAACGAGGTACTTACCGTCGAATCCGAGGAAAGCACATCCGCGTATACGACACCAAGCGGTTAGCATGATGCTGACTTTGGGGATCAGAGGTACTTACCGTCGGGCCGTTGGATACGAGTGAGGAAGCTGGAAGAGCACATTGCGCGCATACGACACCATGCGGTTAGGAGGATGCTGTCTTGTAGAAGAGGAGGTACTTACCTTCAAAGCAGTCGTCAAGACTGGAAGTCCACCGCTCACTCGAAGAAGGTCAGGATACACGCATCGCATTAGCAAAATCCATATCTCCAGGCATTTGGTCGATTCGAACGACACTCACCGGATGCATGGCGCCGCCGCCGCCGACACTAGAAGCTACCAAATTCGATCAAGTGTCCTCAACTTCATGTGAAGTGTGGGAAATGTACGGACGACCCACAACATCAATTCAATGAATTGGAAAAGATGCTTAACCCACGTCCAACCATCGAGCTGTGGGTCTATACAGGACAAAAGCCCTGAATAGCAGCTCGAAATGCGACTTGCTCTTGGGAGCCGCTCAGTGAGAAGCCACTATGAGGAAGTGGTCTCACTACCTTAGAGGTTGATGCGACTCCCTGAAACCGACATTGGGACTGCGGTCGGTCAAAGAAAGAGGTGAGGACATGGAAATACGCCGGTAGAATCTGGATACTTCGGGTCAGCTGGTCAATGAGAACAATACTCACAGGATTGCCTGGCCGTTGCGGACAACGACGTTCGAGAAGGCAACCAGATTTGGTTGGCGATCGGGCGGAGATGCCGTGAGTGGAGAATGCGAAATGATCAGGCGATGTGACCAGGAGGCAGTGCCAGGTGAGAAGGCGGTGCCGGGCGAGGAGACGTATATCTTGATGATCAGCAATGTGCCTCACCACCGAGCATTTGGTCAAGGTACTTACTGCGATGAAGCAACCAAGGGCGAAGTCTGCCGGAACGCGGACTGGAGTGCCTGACGCTGAAGTTAGTGAAGGGGCTGGATCTTCGGACAATTTGTTCAATCTGAACGACACTCACGAGATAGCATTCGCCGTTGCGGATGACTGGGCTAGAGAAAGCTGACCATCGTCGACGCCAGTCGGGAAGGCGTGCATGCAGAACATCAGTATAAGCCACAGCCATCGAGCATCTGGTCGGAAGTACTTACAGCAATGCGACAGCCACTAGGAAGCCGCCGCGCCGTCGAAGGTCATGCGTTTGAAGTCAGCCACCGTCTCAACCCTTCGGGCATCTAGTCAGTTTGACCGACACTCACAGATTTGCTGTCGCCGCTGCCGGGGACAAGGCCAGAGATAGCCACCATTGGATCAAGGGCTGGGGAAAGAGAGACGACTCAGATCTCGGCGGTGCGGACTGGAGATGCTACTATGAGGAAGAAGTCTCGGAAGATCATCGCACCGCCTTGAGAAGCGCAGAGCTAGCGTCCGCAGAAGCTGAGAGAAGATGTGAAAGAGTTAGCTATGGTCTTGTACGAAGGAGAGCGAAGAAGGGAGTACTTACCGAAAGCAAAGATACGCTGCCATGTCGACATCAAAGGCGGAAGCATCACGTCACGCAAGCAAAAGGGACCGAATGGTATCAAACGAGTATATATCTGTGGAGAGTTAGCAACTGGAACCGGAAAGAGAAGCGACGAGGAAAGACTTACTATATCTACCGCAACACCAAGGAGGGTTTCCTTCGACAGTTTCCATCATACAATCCATCGACTCATCCATGCAGGGGCGTATCTTGACGTATGTAATCTCGCCAAAGCCCTGGAAGAAGGAACGGAGCTCGTCCTCGGTGACTTAGCCGGAGAGACCACCGATGAAGATGGTGGTGTTATTGAGGTCAGTGAACTGGTTCCATTTGCTGGCGTACAAGCATAGAAACCCAGATCCGGCATTCCGAAAGTCGTCATCAACATCCCCATATCTCGTCCGTTTGACCGAAGGGTCAATGAAAGAGTGAATGAAGCAAAAGGACCGCAGCCGTGGCGAAGATTGATCTAGCATAGGCCCTGGACTGTATGTGCCCTCGAAGTCGTCGCTGCGGTAGCAGGATGACTTCGAGAACACATACAGTCCAGGGTCTATGCTTTGTCCAGGACAGAGCTGTTGGCGGTCATCCCATGGGGCGTCATCGGGGAATGGGCAGACGCTGAGACTCGGGAAGGAGGCGCTTCAAGCGTGAGCCACTGAACGGGATAGGCGGACCAGTGGGACTGAAGTATGCGTTGCGATGCAACGGCCACCGGCGGTGATGTTCTCGTAGCCTGCGGGCTTGATGTCCCATTGCGTCATGCGACGTTCGCGCTTCTGGATGATTGTGAAGCTGGTGAGGTCGGGTGTAGCCTCGCGCGGCTTGTTGAAGGGCGGGGACTCCTCCTTTGCCTCCAGACGGCTTGGGGTGTTCTGGCATCTTGATAATGTTACTGAGCGGCCTGCGGTCGAAGAGCTCGAACCCGGAATCGACAGTAGAGCTGACGCATCTTATCACGTCCGCCGCCGAAGCCTCCATCGCGTCGTCCCCGAAAGAGGCGATTGGGTAGTGGTAACAGTCATGTCCATATCATCTCAAACCATTACACACCAGTTACCAGTATCATCCATATCCATCTCAAATCAGACCAACTCCTTGTGCATCTCAAGGACCTGAGCCTTGGTGCCAGACAGCGCCATAGCAGCGTACAGATCCTCCTCGAAGCCCGCCTGAGGGCTAATATCATTGAACTTCTCTTTGCGCTTGTTGACGAGTAGCACGAAATGGCGAGGTAGATAGCACAGAAGCTAGCGAATCCGTCTGATAGTGTCCAGTAGATTGGCTTCGGTACCTGGCCTCCCTGTCGCCGCGCATCCTGAGGACGGACCGCTCCGAGACGGGCTTCTGGCGAGGTTTCGAAAGTTTGCGACCAACGACGACACGCGCGAGGATCGGGTTGGAGAGCTTGCCCTTAGCGGCATCCTCGTCACCGCCGCCGCCCTGATCCGGAGTCGTGTTCCTCTCCGAAAGAGGCGTGCGCTTGTTGACGAGTAGCAGATCCGGAGTGGTGTTCATCCCCGAAAGAGGCGATGGGTGCTGCAAGTCTCTCAGCTGATTCAGTATGGTAAACTCCGTGCGCAGGAGCTGGAAGCAGCGGCGATGGAGAGGAGAAGTCGTGGCACTCTGGGCACGGGCTACGAGCATACAGCAGTAGCGAGGTAGCAGTCTAAGCCGTATCGGATGGAGACCGCCGTCCGGGCATGAAGTATTCCAGGGCGTCACAGGATACTGCGATGTATGGGCTTCGTCTGTCGACGATATGCTCGTACTACTGGTTGGGTGAAGAGATATCGACTGCTTCTGAACTGTCGCCCCAAGACAAGCGCCAACCCTAGGATGGGGAAGGCGGCTTACAGCTTGAAAATGAAATATTCGACATACCCGAAGGCGGTGGACGCTGAGATGGTGGCCAATCTCGCCGAACATCAGAGCAGGTCTTGACGTGGTTGCCGTTGGTACGAGCTATCGGAGGAGATGAAGTATGCGTTGCGATGCCATCGCGTTGGTGTCGTGAAGTACAAAGTACTTCTTGCCGATGAGGGTGGCCAGAGGAAGCGCTGAAACCAAGTGGTAGCAGCTGTTGGCTCATCTCCGCCATCTTGGTATGCAGGTTTACTTTCGTGATTCCCGGGAATGTCTGTGGGTACCGTATCGATCCTCAAGACTCTGTCCTTGGACGTGAAGGACAGGAGTACGTGATCGTGCGGGATGCATTTCGAACTTGTCGTCGTTGAGCATGGGGCGTGAAAGCTGTTGATGTTGTGGCGTAACGTTGTAGGCATTTGGGCGAGAGGTCTGCCGGAGAAGTTTGCGGAAGACCAAGCGCAACGAATTCCACGTACTCGATCAACAGGTCGATGTTGTAGTTGTTGAAGAGATGCTCTGCATTTACCACCAACTCCAAGATCCAAACATTTGTCTTGTGCGATATGAGAAGAGGTGTGAGTTCTTCTCTGCTCACCACGGGGAGTATCTGGGGCGCTGGGCATCTTGACTGCCGACGCTACGTCGTTGTTCTGGCTGCCACGCTTGGCAACGGTGACATTGGCCCTGGGCAGAACGTACTGCTCTTCGACTCCTCGCGATTCTGGATTCTGATTCGGGAGATGGGATGTCTCGATGGTGCGTAGGAGGTAGAAGCGGACTTGCTGCATTAGACCTCTCCTCGCCGTGGCCACCGAATAATCCTGGGCCGTCCGAAGACGGGCGTCAACCCCACGGTGGGGAAGACGACTTACCATGAACGCCAACCCCCATCGCAGGAGAAGGCGGCTTATCATGGGCACCGACCCATCACTAGGGAAGGCGACTTGTCGCTGTCGAATCCTCCTCCTCGAAGCCGGCCTGAGGGCCAGCATCGTCCTCCTCAAAGTCCTCTCCTTGAACGTACTCATGTACCATGATAATGACCTTCTGGAACACATCCGTCAACAACGATGAGAACAACATTGCTCTCACTCTGGATCGTTTCTTGGTTCATATCGGCCGTGGAAGGAGGCGACGTGTGAGCGTAGTATATGCATGGAGGAACCAAGGAGCCAAGGAGGTTGAAGCGAAACCAAGGCGTGGACGCGACGTCAGGAACGCCCTTCTGCGGGACCTCGACGGTGATGAACTGCTCGAGCAGCGCAGTAGAGGCAGTAGTGATGGAGCAATCGGAAGAAGCAGAGCTTGAGGTTGACTCAAGCGTGACGGTCATGAAGATTGTCTCAGTCACGATGACGACTGGTCGGCGAAATCGTGCACCTTGGAGCCGGTCTCGAGATCCAAGAAGGAGAAGAGAGAAGAAAGATCAGCTTGCCGGGTCTCGACGAGCTCTCGAATCTGCAGTCCTCCTCGATGTATGTGGGAATATTGACGATGCTCAGCTTGTTGGGACTGTCCTTGACAACACAGGTCATGCCAACAAGCAATGTGAGGATGCGCTTGTTGACGAGTAGCAGAAAAGCTTGTGTCCCAAGACCCAACAAGCTCTCGAATCTGCTCCTCCTCGATGTATGTGGGGATGTTGACGATGCTCAGCTTGTTTGGACTGTCCTTGACAACACAGGTCATGCCAACAAGCGCTGTGAGGATGCGCTTGTTGACGAGTAGCAGAAAATCTTGCGTCCCACACGTGTTGGGTCTTCCCGAGCCGACAGGTTGTAGATGGAGCAGATGTTATCGAGACCACCACAAGCGACGTCTGCAAGCATTTCCTGTGGACGAGTTAGTATGGGTTTCAAGTAGGATGCAAGAAGCTACTCACCGGTCTTGTACTTCACTTGCCAATGGGTCGCTGCTTGTACCAGCGAGTATGTCCTGGCAGAAGCGAAAGGCGTGAACATCGTGTACCTTCCATCTTCTAATGAAGAACGCTGCAACGCTTGCAAAAGTAGGAAAGACAGCGACGTCGCATCGCGATTGCAAATGACCTTGGAAGTTTGACAAGGCTGGTATTCGAGGCGGATTCTCAGAGGGCGTCGATTTCGCTCGGTCGAGCTGGTGGTATCGGGGCGACACCAGCAAGTGGTGATGAGGTCTTGCTGGCGACTGGAGCTCACTTGGCTACCCTCTCGTCGTGAGAGAGGGCATTGCCCGGGAGGCGGGTGCGACGCGGCGCGGACCCTGAGTCAGATTTTGCCTCCCATGCCCTGGGTGGATGGCAGGGCTTGTCGGGGTGCTGGTATCTGGCAAGCATTAGTCAATGAAGACGAATTGATTGAAGGGGAAAGATGATACTCACCTCGTCTGGCGCCAGCTCGCCTCTTCGTTGTAGCTTGTTTTTGCTCAGTGTCCCAGTGACACATCTTGCTTGCTTCCAAGTACTGCTTGAACTTTCAGGGGCGGAAGGCGTTCTCGGCGAGGAATTGGATTGACCACTCGCGGCGCGGTCGCCTAAACAAACGAAGACACCAGCAGGCAATGACCTTTCCTGCTGGGACTGCCCTGTTCAGCCATCTCCCTCAGACTAGGTGAGATGTTTCCAGGAAGCGCGGCGGGGACGCACAGAGACAGATTCACTTCCCACACTGAGACACGTTAGCAACAACCAAAGGGGAGTGAGCACTTACATCGCTTTCTATACTGCGACACGTTAGCAAAAGGCAAAGGTTGAGGACGACGTACATGCGATAGGCTGTCGAAGCCTGGGGGTCGAATACGATTGCCGCTCACGATGGGCGTATGGATCATCTGTCTCGACCACATGGCATCTCGAGACGCTGACGTATAAGTGAGAGACAGCCTGAATACATGTCAGTAAGTGAATGTCGCCGGTAAGGGTAGGAGATACTCAGCGTCTCATCGACGCTGATGAAAGGTATACTGCTCGATGATGTGCTGGCCAGCGCGTAGGTCGGCATGGATGGCGAGCTCGGAGGAGGGAAGGAAGGAAAGAGAAGAGAAGATGGTGAGGATGCTTGAATAAGCGAAATGATTGGAAGAAGGTTCAATGCGGTCAAGCACGAGTACTGGAGCTCAGTTAGCCGCCCTTCTCCGAAGAGAAGGACGTTACCAGGAGGCGGCGACGGGGAGCCAGAGTCAGATTTTTGCCATCCCACCCTGTAACACTGGTTAGCCGACGACTGGGAGGGGGATACGTACGTAGAGGGTGTCTTGTTATGTTGTATAGCAGTGGCATCCGATATGGTACTTCTTCTCTTGGGCGAAGGCGAGAGAAGCAAAGGAGGGAAGTATCGGAAAGACAACGGGAGTCGATGGGGCCTTGCGTGCGCAAGCCTCGTCGAGCTTGTTGGAAAGCTGAAAGCCGGTTGTGGAAGGCGTCTCGGTTCGTGGTGGTGAGCTCGATCAAAGGCGACAGCAGTGTCCTGGATGTAGTCAGCCAGAGTGCTCATCTTGGTTGGGTATCTGGGGTACTCGGTAGGGGTATGAGAATAGTTTGAGGCGCCATGTCCTGGTCTTGTTAGTAAATGAGCTCGATGAGGGAAAGGAATAAACTTCAAAGTGGACCAAGACTTGTCGCGATGGTCATGAGGGGTCCGCATGTATGAGATCGACAATCAGCGCGTTGTGTCAAGCCGGGGCAGTCGATCGTGTGCTGATAACTGGCCGCCATTGTCTGAGGCAAGGTCAGTAAGAAGGGGGATGACAAACCTAGATGAAGGAGGGTGGAGGAGATAAGGGGATGGAGGTGGAAGGGCAAGCACCACTAGACAAAGGTCAGTCAAGGTACTAATGATGTAAGACAGAAGAGGTAACATACCAATGAGTGGACATAGTCGTTTTGTGAGTAAACATTGCGGGGTAGTGACGCTGGGTGATCCGAAGAAGATACTGCTGGCGACGACAGCAAGTGTCGTAATGAAGGCGCTGCGACTACAAGTTGAATATTAGCAGGTCGGGGCGACGCCGCGCTGATGGCGACGTCGTAATGTTAGAGGAGGAGAGGAGATACCTGAGGATGTGGTCATAGCTGGCGACGGCAAGATGGGCCATGATGTGACCCAGCGACTACAAGTTGCGGATTAGCATGACGAGGGCGACGCCGTATCAATGACGACGTCGCAATGCTAGTGGAGGGGAGGGGATACTTGTAGAGGTGGTTGAAGCTGGCTCTTGGAGCGGGGTACTAGACCAGACGCGCGACAGCAGCGCCGGCGAGGTCGTCGTCAGCAAAGTTCAAGGCAAGGAGGGGAAGATACTTATGGCAGAGTTATACTTATCCCCATGCAAGGCATGGTCGACCGACTCCAGGCGAGGCAAGAGGTGGCGGGGAGAGCCAAAGTCAGCGCTACTGCTATCAAAATCAGCGGGCTGTAAGAAAGCAGTGGGGGGATACCTTGAGGCAATTGCCAAGTAGAGTAGAGGTGTCGAGAGAGGAAATGAAGCTTCAAGGAGCAGGAAAAGGGCGATTGCGAGGCAATTTTGGGTGGTGGTTGTGGGAGAAGGAGAGAGGGAGGGAGTGAGACAAAAAGCTTTAATTTATGCTAAGGCAGCTACGTGAGAGAGCGGCGGTGACGGCGAGTTGTTCAATAGTATCAATATCACTGCGAGCAATGAGACAGGGGTGGGCA